AGAGTGGATGAGAAATAGGGGTTCTACTTTGGCCTGTAGAGAGGTTTAGAACCTTCTAGATACCCAAAGCACTTTCCTTTACTTGCTGTGTTGCCCAGGGCAGGGTTGGCTCTTGAATAGCAGTGGTGGAATGCGGTTTTCCACAGTGCGTGGTATAAATAAAACGTCATGTTGGCTCTTGTTTGAACCCTGGGCCAGACCACCTCTCCAGGGCAGGCAGGACTGGGAAGGGGCTGACAGTGGAGATGCTGGGGCATGGGTTTGGGAAGATCAGCATAGCATTGGACACAGTTTATAGGGCACAGGTGGTTAGGGTTCTGGATAGAGTGAGCTCTAGGGGGGCTGTAGGGGCCCCGAGAGGGAGGAATGCTGAATGGAAGAATAAATACACAAACGAGGGACACTAGAGCCCTGTGAATGAGTGCGCTGTGGGCTCAGAGGTAGGTGAAGCTGGGGATCCAAAGAGTTGCGGGCCGTGGGTGCAGTCACCTTTCTGCCATCGCTCTTCACATCCTCTTTTCTCTCCTCCCAGAGGCCAAGCTGCAGAAGTTTGACCTGTTCCCCAAGACGCTTCTTCAGGCAGGCCGCTCAGGCAGCCCGCAGCCGCCTCAGGGAAAGCCCTTATCACCCGATGGCGCGGACTCGGGTCCCGGGACGTCGTCCCCAGAGGTGCGGCCTGGCTCAGGCTCAGAGAACGGAGATGGCGAGTCTTTCTCAGGGTCGCCCCTGGCCCGGGCCTCCAAGGAGGCTGGTGGCAGCTGTCCGGGCAGCGCTGGCCCCGGGGGCGCAGAGGAGGACAGCCCGGGCTCTGCCAGCCCTCTGGGTTCCGAATCTGGTTCGGAGGCTGACAAAGAAGAGGCGGAGGTCGCGCCCGCGCCAGGGCTGGGCGGAGGCCCGGGGTCGCGGCAGCGGACGCCGCTGGACATCTTGACGCGCGTCTTCCCGGGCCACCGGCGAGGCGTCCTAGAGCTGGTGCTGCAGGGCTGCGGCAGGAGGACAGCCCGGGCTCTGCCAGCCCTCTGGGTTCCGAATCTGGTTCGGAGGCTGACAAAGAAGAGGCGGAGGTCGCGCCCGCGCCAGGGCTGGGCGGAGGCCCGGGGTCGCGGCAGCGGACGCCGCTGGACATCTTGACGCGCGTCTTCCCGGGCCACCGGCGAGGCGTCCTAGAGCTGGTGCTGCAGGGCTGCGGCGGCGACGTGGTGCAGGCTATCGAGCAGGTGCTGAACCACCACCGCGGAGGCCTGGCGGCCGGCCTGGGCCCCACC